AAAAATAAAAATAAAATAGAGGTACTGTAGACATTTGTAGGGTGGGACACCAAACTCTACCAAAAAAAAAACATAATAACACAAAAAAAAAATTTAATCCGATACAAGATTGCAAACAGTTGAAGTTAGTTTATAATCAATTTACATAAAAACTAGTTAAAATTCATTTATTTATCAAATAAATGGAACTAAGCTCCTTCAATAGATGACTCATGCTCGAATAATGTCTTGTTTGTTGAACTTGTACTCATTTTCTGTTTAATTTGTTGAGCTCGAACACGAGTTTGAATTCACAATTATTAAATCAAGTTCAAACTCAAATGCCGTAGACAAAAAATGATTCGAAATCAAACAATTTCAAATTCAACCCGGTTCAGTTTGTTTGCACCTTGAAAGGTTGTTGCCTGTTTGTATCTCTGTCCAAATGGGGGGAGGAAAGTGGTTAGAATGGTGGGCATTATAGTCTTTCAACAGATAAAGAAATGAGTATTCGTTCAAATCCATTATGTTTGGATCAAAAATAGATCATACGTATTAGACGATGGACGTATACAAAAATACTCATATAAACCTGCACAAGGATGAATTGACACTTATCTCCACCCCGTCCCGCCCCCGCTAACTCGTATATATATGTAAAAGATCATAAAACCTCAATCCTATTCCTACCAACCTATAAAGTTAATTTTAAAATTCAGTGGGCTATTTTTTTTTTCTTTGTCCAATAAGGTAAGATCTATTATCTTTGTATTCTTTTTTATAACTTTTGTTAGATTTGTGATCATTTTTGTTAGATTTAAGAGTCTGTGTTGTGTTAGTTATTAAGGGTTTTTGTTTTCGGATTTATGGTGTGTTAGATAAGAGGTTTTTAGATGTTGTTGTTCTTATTTTTTTGACATTTTTTTTTGTGTTAGACCTAGAATTTTCATGTGCTACATCTGATTTTTGTGTTAGATATGCAATATTTTGAATTTTCTAATTTAATGCTATTTGAATATGGTTTTTGTTGAATTTTGATTATAATGTTAGATATGATTTTTGTTGATTTTTGAGTTTATTCTTCTTGAATATGTTTTTTAATTTTTGAAAATTGTTAGATAGATTTTTTACTTGAAATGTGCTGGATAGACTTCTTCCCTACTCAGTATATTAAATGCTAATCCTTAATAGTAAGAAGAATTATGTGGTAATTTTTAGTTGGTGACATACAATTTTTTTATTTTTTGAATTATTTACAATGTTAGATTATGTTAGGCTTGGGCTTAAGTAAAAGGTGAAGGCAGGGACGAAGCAGAGGCAGAGATTACAAATTTACCTGTAAACGGGGATGAGAATGAAAACTATATTCGATAACGGGGGTGGATCAGAGATGGATGAAATTTTTTTAAGTAAGTACGAAAATAAAGACCATACTCTTGTCCCCGCTTCAGTTCACTGTCATCCCCAGAATCAAAACTCATAAACAATAAAATACAATCAGATTGCCATGTTGTGTCATACGAAACTAATTTAATAAAATAACATCACACAAATAATTAATAAAATAACATCACATCACATCAACCACTCGTATATGTTGGAGTGGGAGTGGGGGGTTGATCATATAGACAACACATGGATTTTAATAATTGAAGCATATACACAAAATTTCAACTTTAAGATACGAGGTCACTAAAACAAATTTTTTGGACAAAGTATTGTTTAATACAAAACCTTTAGCGTAAATAGCAATGAAACCTCTGATTCCTTTTCCTTCGATATTTATAATAATACATAATCCATCGTGCAGTGGTGACGAATTTACTCATATATATAATTGTTGACACTAATATATGAAAGAAATTTAACAGTTATAAAAAAATTTGTGAGAATTCACGATTGACAGAACAGTTAATGAAATATGACTCTAAGAATCCTGATAAACTAAAAGACATAACTTCATAAATTGTCAATTGACGACGATTCAACGCATTTTTACCTATCTCAAGAGTAAAAGGCATGATCACAAAGAAGGCATCGACGATTAGAGGTTAGTCTTATAAATAACATAAGTCAAGCCACATAGAAATGATTCACAATCAAACTCAACAAACTCTATACAGAGGTAAATTACTTTATACTCATTTATTTTTGCTCATGAACAATTTTACTTTTCTTGCAATCTATTACTTCGGTGATCTTTTACTGTTTTTATTTAATATTAAATACAATACTTGTTTTATATTCTAAATTTAATTTATTTGTTGCTTTGCATTCCAACAGTCTTTTTTATGCTTTAGTCAATTGCGCTGTTAGTTAAGAAATTATTTAAAGTCCTTAAACTCTAGGCATAAAAAAGGATTCAGATATAATCTTACGTTCATTACAATTACTTGAACAATTACTATTTTTAGAACTTCACACTGGTTCAAATAGATAAGGTCGTACGTGCTCGAATCTTAAATCCAATCAAACTTTAACGCGCTCACAATCTAAAAGTACACTAAAAAATAATAAATTTCATTTTTATTTGTAACTGATAATGTTGTATTTAAAAAAAAAATTGTGTTCAAAGAAATATCACTCGCGTATAAAGTTTTTGGGAATCTATGGAGGGATTTGTCAATTTACCACTTGGGGGGCCCCAAATTAGAAGATTTGAAGAAACTAAAGGTTTTTATAGACCAAACTCCCATTTAGTAGTTGAGAAGATGGTAGACAAGCAAAGGAAAGTAGCAAAGAACTGACCAATTCTTTTCTTTCTTGTAGTTTTTTCCTTTCTTCAAAACGGCAAGGAACGGTGTTGAGTGTGGTTAGGTGCTGTTTTGTGCGAAAGAGGGAATTGAGTTGGATGGATGATGAAGTTTGGCTTACCAATTTTGACTTGTGAATTCTCACTGACCTCTTATTAAGTTTTGTAAACACCTTTTTCTCTCAACCCTTTCAATTTTATGGAGGTTGACATTCCTTTGCATGGAAAAGAAAATTAAAAAAAGTTATGTCACAACCGGCAGCTTCATATTACCTACAAAATATGTTACGTTAAAACCTATTGAACAATTTTTTGATCCATTTATAATGAAGTATACTCGACTTCATGTTGTTTATAAATCTTGCTCAATCAAATTTGTATTGTGTTTAATATTATTCGAGCTAATTCATTTATTAAGCAGGATAATATGTTTGCCTGTTTATTATTCAAACTCATTAGAATTAAACTCACGCCCAATAATTTTAGCGTACATGACTATGAATTACAAACCCAATCAATCTCCTACCTGTGGTGCAAAGCAAAGCAATCGAGAATAGATTAGTTGATAATCCACATGCAATCTATGCAGTCTGAAATTGGGTCTAAGGCACTCTAGTCTTGTTAGATAGAGTGTATATGCGTGTACACACACACACCCACCCTGGATTAGCTATTATAGGGCTTAGTAAGTCCAACTCAAGACTTGCAGGGTAACCAACGATCCAACACTTGTTGTTGCCTCTATAAATTAAGAACAAAAAAAGGCCCAGAAATTGCATGGCCCCAAAGTGAACCAGCCAGCCCAATAGAAGTCTTATCTAATGAACCAAACAGAAATTGAATTACACCACATTTGGCGCGACGTCGTATTGGTTAAAACCCTAGACAGTGGAGGAATTCGAAACCCACCCTCAAAAAACGAAAAAAAAAAATGAATGAATAGAAGCAGACGCAGAAGGAGCAGCAAGAGCTCAACCGCTCGAGGAAGATGGAAGGGAGAGAAGCGATGAAGGAGAAGAAGAACAGCCCAGAAGTCTTTGCCTCTTGCTCTTTCTCTAGTCTCGGCCTTCACCCTACCTTATGCGACCAGCTCAAAGGTGTCTCTCTATCTCTCTCTCTACGGACAAACACACACAGAGGCATATGTGGCGCAATTCGGCGTTTATTACTTTGAATGAGCTGTTTTTACTGATGACAGTGCAATTTTGTGATTGTATTTTGAAGCAATGAATTTGCTTTGGAGCTGCTTGCCGAACGATGCGTTGATAATTTTTCCTGCTGTCTCATGAATGAACTTTTTATTTATTTAATGTTTTAACAGAGAGGATGGGCTTTGAAGTTCCCACCCACGTTCAGGCTCAGGCAATTCCTGTTATTCTCTCTGGGCGACACGTGTATCTCTTTCTTTCTCTTTCTTGTGTTTTTGCAGCATAGTAATTTGATAATTTTGTTATTTTATGTTTCTTGCATTTGGCTAAGCTGTGTTTGACCCTTTGTGTATGTTCGTTATTGGAAAATTGTAGGCTTGTTAATGCGGCTACGGGCACTGGAAAAACTGTAACATATCTTGCTCCAATCATTCATCACATGCAGAAGTATGATCCTCGTATTCAGCGGTCTGATGGTACTCTTGGTATGCATCTAAAAATTTTGGCATAGATGCATTTCTTTTTGCTCACATATGAACTTTTTATTCCCTTGGCAAAGTCTTTATTTATGGTTATATGCAAGCCTATTCATGAGAGGAATTCATTTTAAACATCTTTTAGAACCTTAAATTTAATTGCATTTTATTTTCGTTTTCAGGTCAAGGTATTGGTTTATAAACATGAAATAATTTCTTCTTGAAATAATTGTTTAACTGTTGGTTGAAGGACATGGATTGGATTCCACGCTATTTTGAGCTTTGCATGATGAAGTATAACTGCAGAGTCAACATCTGCTCATCATGGACTTTAGACTGAATTTATAACTTCTTTCTGTTTCACTTTTTGTTGTGGCCGCATCTGCTTGTCTTCAATCAACGGCTTTATTCATCTGATATCTAGATGATAGCGTTGGTTCTTGTACCAACGCATGAGTTATGCATGCAGGTATATGGTATCTTGCAAAAGTTGTTGCATCGCTTTCATTGGATTGTCCCGGGCTATATTATGGGTGGTGAAAATAGATCAAAAGAGAAGGCCCGATTGCGCAAAGGTAGGAACTCATGTGTAGTTATGTTGTCATGGCTTTCGATGTTGAGATTGAACTTTGTTCCTTAGTTTATAAATTGTATAAGCCATTGGTGGGCACATCCCTTGAACAATGTCATTTGACTTCTTTGCTATCTTGTTATGTTTTGTGGTACCTTAGAAGCCTGTTTGAGCCATCAATTTGTATTTTATCACCGTTTTTCTTGCCATATATTTTTCTGGACATCTTCATTTCAGTTATGCTCAATTTATTGACTATTTCCTTAAACATAATGTATCATATAATAGATGATTTTCCTCATCTCCAGAAAGTCCATTATCTAGTTCTCATTCTCATTATCTAAAGATTTTGGGAGCTGCTCAGCAGATAGAGGAGAGAGGGAGGGGGAGGGGGAGGGCTAGGAGAGATGGACCGGGCATCAGACTAACTTGGCATTATTTTCATGGTCTGGCTGCCCTTAGATTAAACTGCATCTTCATAAAATTTGTACTTGATCAACATGCTTGACTTCAGCTTATTTCCAGGTATATCCATTCTTGTTGCAACTCCTGGACGGCTTTTGGATCATTTGCAGAAGACATCATCATTCGTGCGCACAAAATTGCGCTGGATTATATTTGATGAAGCAGATAGGTATTATTTCCAATCTAATGCATTAACTCTATTTAATCCCCACCCCCCAAAAAAAAAAAAAATCACTTGTTTTTAATGCCTTGGTACTCCTGCACATGTACAGGATTCTGGAATTGGGATATGGAAAAGCGATAAAAGAAATACTTGATATCTTGGGATCAAGGCAAAATATGTCTGTTAAGAAGGAGGGAAACAAGATTTCAAGGACACCTGAAGCTCAGATGCAGAATTTGTTGTTGTCAGCTACCTTAAATGAAAAAGTGAATCATCTTGCTCAAATTAGTTTAGAAAATCCAGTTATGATTGGTCTGGATAAGGAGAAGATGCTAACGAAGCCATCTTATGAGCATACAGGATCTCTAGGATCTGAAAGGATTGTTGAGTTAGAACATTCAGGGAATGTATTAAGCTCATCAAATGATGAATATAAACTGCCACCGCAATTAGTTCAGAGATATGTGAAAGGTACAAATTCATGAAACTTTATTTTGGTGACCCTATTTAATTGCAGCGCTGTATGAGAATTGTGATAACATTTCCCGTGCAGTGCCTTGTGGTTCACGGCTTGTGGGACTACTTTCTATTCTAAAGAATCTTTTTGAGAGAGAAGCTTCTCAAAAGGTAAAGCCAGTCTTGGACTTGCACTTGTTCTTTGCAAATCATCTTTTGTAATGGTGTCATCTTTGTAACTTTATGATTGGATATTGTGAAAATTAGTGTTTAGCAACTATATCTCTTAATTGTAGTCTCCATTACTAATATCTCTTTTCAAAATTTGTTCTCAAAGAGTACTAAAAGTGGTCCCTTTATATTTGAGGTAATCCCTGTGTTGGCAAGCTATAGTTTGGTAACACCAACCACCAGACCATGAGCCACAAGTCCATGGGGGACCAGTTTGAGTTTAGTTAACATTACTTTGCTTGGTGCTGCATCCTCAAAAATGGTTGTTACGACATGCTTAATGTTGCAGTTATTTAAACAGAGGATTTCCCAAATATCATTGTGATCCATTCTCAAGGATGGTTGTTATGCCATGCTTATAGTTTCAGTTTTTAAACAGAGTATTTCCCTAATATCTTCGTGAATACTAGCACTCACCACTGCATGGATTTCTTTCTGACTATGCCCACACTTA